CTTTTGTATATAGGTTCATGAGTGGTTCTTTTTATAAAGAAGTCTATTAGCAGTTGTGAAGGTATTGTTAATTTTATCCTCCTTATCCCGTCTGTATTTTTTACTTTTTGTTTAAGCTATCTTTTCATCCAACACTTTCAAATTTTTTGGGATGATATCCTCTCTCTCCTTAAATTCAATGCTCTCTTCATCTATAGGAGGGTGAGATTCTGATACACTTAATTCATCTTCCAATTTTTCTTTAACCTCTTTAGTGTTTAATAATGAGTTGTACTAACTGAAAACTGTATTAATTTTTTTGACAATTTTCTTTACTCTTCTTCTTCTTTCAACATCTACCTAGCTCTAGATGGGCTGGACTGGATGCTCAGTCCCTGTTGGCCAGTGGTTTCTGCTGGGATCTCTGTACTCTTCCTGCTCAGGTCCCTTGCACGTCCTGTAATGACGCAGAGGCTGCAATGACACAACATCCCAGGTGCCCACTCACTGCAGGGCAAAGACCGTCAGACACAGTCAGATGCACACAGTCCAACACACATAGTCACTCGCACACAGTCACACAGTAAAGGGAGACAGTCACACACAAAGTCATAGGCAGACAGTCACACAAGCAGACAGTCACACATACACACATACACACATACACCGTCACAGTCACACACACAATCACAGGCAGACTGTCACACACACTCACAGACAGTCACACACACAGTCACACACATAATCACACACACACAGTCACACATAGTCACACACAGTCACAGACAGTCACACAGACTCACAGACAGTCACACACAGACAGTCAAAAACAGCCACAGACAGACACAATCACAGTTACACACAGCACACACTCTCTCTCACTTACAGTCAGCTTGGGCTAGAGGAGGAGTGGATTTAGTGAGTCCCTGGTGTGTTGGAGTTGGGGAAGCAGGGACTCCTTCCTGCTTCCCCTCTGTGTGCAGCAGTAAGAGACTACCTTTAGCTCTGCACCACATCAACTTGACTCCGCCCTAACTGCTGATCTGGCTCCGCTAGAGGAGGAGTGGATTTAGTGAGTCCCTGGTGTGTTGGAGTTGGGGAAGCAGGGACTCCTTCCTGCTTCCCCTCTGTGTGCAGCAGTAAGAGACTACCTTTAGCTCTGCACCACATCAACTTGACTCCGCCCTAACTGCTGATCTGGCTCCGCTCCCAACGCTCCGTGCAGGTCTCTTGCTCCTGCTCCCAGCCCCTGCATGTGTGAGCTGTATTGGCTGCCCGGCGTCCCTGCTGCTATGGTGCCCTGTGCAGCCACACAGCTCAGAGAACCCCAAGCTTGGCCAGACCTGGTGGCACTCCCTTATCTGGTGGCACCCTGGGCGGACTGTCACCCCCCACCCCCGCCCCACCCTCCCCTTAGTACACCACTGCCACTGTGTACATCAGTGGCAAAACAAAAACATAGTGCAAAACCATTTGAATGTAATTAGACTACACTTAGATAAAAAAATATAAATTGAAGCACAAACCAGTAACTTAAAAAGTGCATTATGAAGTGTTATTGTTTAATAATAGTATATTAATTCTGAGGGGTAATATTTGCTTCCTATCCTGAACAGGAAATGTTATGAAACATTTTTATCATAGCTGCAATTTTTACTTTTTCAGTTGTGCTCTGTACTTGCAGATCCATTTATGGTTACTATTAATTTCACTGGGATGTCGTGCTGGTAGAAAATACCCTTATTTTATGATAACAGATGATGTATAGGCAAAGTTCTTCTTAATGGCGAAAGACTAAAGTCAATACTAAAAATAATTGGATGTCTTACTTATTTGACAGCAATGTTCATGTGTTAAATTGAACTTGAACAAGTGAGTAATTAGACACTAAAGAAGGATTGACCTTTGGCTTAGGCGTGAGACATTTTTCCAAGAATGTAAAGGATCATATCAACAGATAATGTAAATAAAAAAAAAAAATAGAAAAAAAATAATGGAACAAAGACAGTTCTATTACTGATGTTTTTATCCCTTCCGTCGCTAAAATGATTGACCCATCTAGAGGTCTGAAAGTTTTTCAGTGACATTGGACATGCAATGCCACCGGCATTTATGCTTTGTGCTCCAGTAAATATTTCCATTTTGTCCACCACATTCTCTGTTCTCTCCACTACTTTCTGAATCTCTAGCACAGTTCGGAAGAAATCCAGAGCCAGAATAATCCAGAAAAAAATGGTAGTAACAGCACAAATAATACAGAAACCAACTTCATACCAGAATGAGGTTTGTAGTCTGTAAAACTTTTTTTCAGTTATACACTGCATGTACTTTTTTTTTATAAAATATCTGCCTAGTTTACTTGAAACTGAAAAGTTGCAAACTATGTACACAAACATTTCTGCTAATACATTTCCAAAATATCAAAATAACTGGTTCAAATACTCAAACAAAGGTAGAAATTGGTAACTTGTGAAACGTTTTTTTTTTTTTTAAAGATTGTAAAATCTTGTTTTCCTTTACTGACAGATTTATTCATTGTAATAGAAAAATAGACTAGAATTTGCAAGATTTACAGCAAGAAAAATTGTTGCAGCCCATTATTACTAGACAGCATTTACAAAATGATATAATAATTTAAGCGGATGCTTAATATAATAAAGAAAATGTAATTGACTGTCAACCATGTATACAATTATTTGGTGTCTGGTTGGTGATTTGTTTACAGGACGCACATGTAAAATATAATAAATTCATATTTCAGCTAAAACGTAGACAAGCGAAACTATCCATTTTTATCACATTTACTGTAATCTCTGTAGGTCTACATAATATACATATTTTAATGGGTGCATCTGAATCTGGGAATGATAAAATGTGTATGAGATGCAGTAATGGTTGGAACTAAAGTAGTAAAAACCTAAATACATCACTGAATTTGAAGTTAGGATACTTTGGACAAACAAACAGACTTGAATACTATTATCTTTTTAAATTTTCATTGATAGTATATTGACCAAGTATCTTATGGATCTATAGTTTCATATGGAGAAACAAATACACAGGACTACTTTTGATGCTGCAGAAATTGTTGTCTGATAAGAAGAGTCAGTGAAAAGTATATTGATTCTTATTTTTAATGAATCTTTTTTAAAAGACCACTATAGGTTCAGGTACACCAACATGTATTTCTGACCTTATAGTGTTAAAACCACCATTAAGGTTTTTTAGGTTAGCCCCTGAGAAAAGCTTAAAACATACCTTATTTCCATCTCTGTGGGTCTGCCCATGGTGGCCACGCCCCCCAGTCTGTCTAAACTCTCACTAAAGTATCAATATCTTTCTGGAGATACAGTCTCCAGTACTGCATACAATACTGCAAGTGAGGTCTCACCAGTGTTATGTACAATGGCATGAGCTCATACCTCTCCTTATACAACCAAGCATTCTGCTAGCATTTTCTGCTGCTCTATTAAATTGTCTGCCTACCTTTAAGTAATCTGAAATAATTACCCCTAAAGCCAATGGGACGTTAAAAATCCAGCTGGATAAATGTATTAATACATAAATGTACCCATAAATAAAAAAAATAAAATAATGTCCTCACTTTATCTCAATTGAAAGCCAGAGGAAAGGGCAAAATGAGAGAACCCGAGGAATGGGCGAAACGTGTCTCGAAGCGAGTAAGCCTTATATGAGGACATTATTTTATTGTTTTTTTTAATTGATGTGTATTTTTATATATTAATACATTTATCCAACTGAATTTTTAAAGTCCCATTGGCTGCACACTCAATCTACCTCCAAAAGAAGGTTTACCTTAAAGTTATTGATTATCTACATATAAGGTTATCTACAATTAAGATTGTGCATAAATAGAATTATCTAACGTATGTTAATTGACAAATGAATGTCAGTTTAGTACAATCTGCACGATCACTGTATTTTTGCATTTTTCTCTTACGTGTTCCATTGTCTATTGGAAGAAAGCATCAAATACCTAATAAGTTTGTATACAACTTCCCAACTAAATTTCCTAATACTGTGTCCTATTTTGCTCCACTCACTATTGCATATTATTCTTTACTGGTGACTTTGGGGATTACACCTGAGTGTGAAGCATATCTATACACACTGGTTTAAATAAGCACCATTTAGAACTCAGACTTTTTTTTTAATCCTATCCTTTAACATGGTTTAGATTACTTTCCCCACTACTGAAGTAAGGCTGACTGGCCTATAGTTGCCCGACTCCTCCCTACTACCTTTCTTGTGAATGGGCACAACATAAGCCAATCTTCTGGGACTACTCCTGTTAACAAAGATTTGTTAAATAAATATGTTAATGGTTTTGCTAGTACACCATTAAGCTTTTTTAATAACTTTGGGTGTATTCCATCAGGCCCCGTTAACTTATTTGTCTTTACTTTTTTTTTTTTTTAAATTCTTTATTTTGGTTGTGCAGGTGATTACAGGATATCAACGAACGCCACAACAGCGTATTGCAAGATTGACAGTAGTTTGGTAGTGGCATAGTAATCTGCACATTTTTATATTTTATATCGTGCTGAACTAAATGGTTATGTTGTCAAAATATGATTAACTAGAAGAAGATAAAATAGATTAGTCAATGCCTAACGTTGTTTACATTGGCCTACGTGTTATGCATACTGATGAACACATACAGCTTAAACTCCACCAATGAAACTGCACTATCGCTGTCTCACAAAAGATAACATCAGGGGTTGGTCAGAGAGGGCATATGTCAAGCAGTTAGCAGCTTTGAATAACATGCTGAGATGCTTAAGTGTACCACTGACCAGTTGAAACATGCAAACTTTAACATGACTTAAACATATCTAAGTTCTAGGCTGCTTCCTTTACTGAATGAAACAATGCATACATATCTAGCCTAAGAGTCTCAGGCCCTTAGATTATATTGACTCCTTTTTAGCTAGTTTTACAGGTTGACTGACTGACTGTTGAGCCATAGTGAGTCCCTGCCAGTCTGTATTGTAAGTTGGTCAGCCGATGCCCGCGGCTGGCAGGCCGCCGCTCCAGGCCGAGAGTGCTCCTTTAAGAGAGCGTGTGTGCTGCCAGACCCGGAGTTCTCTGCATCGATGCACCGGCGTCAGGTATTTTAATCTCCGGCTCGGGTCTGAGCCCCTGGGTCCTTTCGGTGCCTGTGGTTGGCTCTGTGGTGCGTGTTTCTTCCTCCATGGCGAGTTAGTCGCAAGGGGTCGGTCTCTGCCCGGTCGAGTTGTGGTGAGGCCATGGTGAGGTGAGTAGGCAGATTTGCGTAGGCGCCATGTTCTCCAGGCACCTGGATAGGGAGCTTGTTTTTGTGCGGTCGGGCATCCATTGCTGTTATGCGGGTGGGGGACCCGGGAAGTTTGTCTGGAGCGCTTATGGGTGTGGGTTCTCAGTGAGGCTGAGTATTGCTTGGGGTGTATGGCGTCAGGTGGTGCGTGTTGTGGCTCACCTACATGCCGCCCTTTCGTTCTTGTGTATTTCAAAGGTGTGTCTTTCTGCTCCCCATGCCCTTGGTTCCGCACGCCCTGGGGTGGCGGTGCTTGCGGTTTTACCTGAGGCATTTGCATCAGGTCTAAGAGCTTCGTCCAGAATTGGTCAAAGGCTGCATCCAGGCGCTGCTGAGTGTCGCTGTAGTTTTCTGTCCCTTGTGTGTGGTTTCTCATACTTGTCGCCGCCATCTTATGCAGGCCATGTGCTTGGTAGCCCTTCTGTTGCTTTTCTGTGATCTGCGGTTTCAGGCGGCGTCTGTCTCTCTGCTTGCCCATGATGGACCGAGATGACCCCCATCGGTCCAAAGGGGGGGGGGGTAGGAGTTGGGAACCCCTGGAGGTCCATACTCAGGTCTGCAGCGTGGTGAGCGGCCGTCTCTCCACTGCCCGATCTCTGGTAGGCCTCGGGTGATAATGCAGGGTCTCGGTGGGTTACACGTTTGAGTTTGGCACCCAAGGGTTCACCCGGGTGTTCCCTACTTAATGGCTCCTCTCCTGCATGCTCTTGTGCCGTTTTTGGGGGGTTAATTCCCCAATTTGTGTCGTTTTGAGCAGGAGCCGAGGTGCAGCACAACCGTTCCGTTTGGATGCCTGCAAATCTCTTGTCTTTACTTTTAAAAGTTGAAATAGAACCTCTTCCTCTGTAAACTCACATGTAATAAATTACTAATTTGTCCTTTTTTCCTAACTGAGGTCCACTTCCTTCATTTTCATCTGTAAATACTGAACAAAAATATTCATTGAGGCTGTCAGCTAGATCTTTATCTTCTTCTACATACCTTCTTTATTTTGTTTTTAATCTAACTAATCCTTGTTTTACTTTCCTTTTCTCATTTATATATCTAAAAATGTTTTGCTTAGCCTCTTTTTGCCTAATCTTATAGATCTGTCTATCTTCCTCACTCTGTTTTTTTTATAATTAATAAATGCTAACTTTTTGTTTTTTACTATTTTGGCCACATCTGGAGTACCACAGTGGCTTCTTGAATTTTTGCTTTTACTGACAAGCCTAATGCAATTTTCTGTTGCCTTTAGCAGTGCAACTTTTAAATAATCACATTTCTCTTGGACTCCATTTAAACTGATCCAGTCTGATAATGACTCATTTACTTGTATTCTACTTTTAGAAAAGTCTGTTTTTCTAAAGTATAACACTTTTGCTTTTGTGTGGTTTGACTCATTGTTCTTATATTAAACCACACTGACTGATGATCAATGGATTATAAACTTTCACCTACAGTAATATCTGATACCAAATCTCCATTTGTTAATACTAAATCTAGTATGGCCTCTCTACGAGTTGGCTCCTTAACGCCTTGTTTTAGAGACAATCCCAGTAGAGAGTTTAGAATATGTGTGCTCCTGGCACAAGCAGCTATTTTGGTTTTCCAGTTCTCATCAGAAAGAGTAAAGTCACCCATGATAACTTCCACCTTCATTGTCATTTTAGCTATTTCCTCAACTAGTAGATTATCTAACTCTTCTATTTGTCATGGGGGCCTATAAATTACACCTACATACGTTACTGTGTGATTAGCAAATTCTAACGTAACCTAAATGGACTCTATGTTCGCCTCATTAACTTTTATTAAGCTAAATTTTATGCTATCCTTCACATACAGGGCCACCCTTTCTTGCCTTCCCAGGTTTTTCTATATAAAGAGTACCCTGGTATTGCTATGTCCCTATCATTTTTCTCATTATACCATGTCTCAGTAACAGCGACTAAATCTACATTATCAGTTTCCATTATTGCCACAAGTTCATCGATCTTATTCCCTAAACTGCAAGCATTTGTAGACATGACTCTAAGCTTATAATTTTTTAACACACTTGCTGCATGCACCTTCTGACCTTTTGCCACCCCTCCTAGTTTAAATACATCCTGGCAAAACCTCTGAACTGCTCACTGAGAACATTTGTTCCCTTTTGAAAAAGATGCAAACCATCTTTTTTGTACAGTTTTTTACCATTCCAAACAGAGCTACCATGAGAAATGAAGCCAGTTCCTTGCTACCGACACCATTCACCAAGCCACAAGTTAAAGTCCCTAATACACATCCGCCTGTCGTTCTGAGTGTTATGCACAGGCAGAACTTCAGAGAATGACAGTGTGGAAGCAACCTGCCATATATCATTGGCAAAAACACTAAAAACTTCCTTAACCTCTGAAACCTCATTGCAAGCCAAGTCATTGGTCCCTCGATGGACAAGTACATTCAATTCCCCTTCCTGCTTTACTACCCTGGACTACCCTGATCATTTGAGGTTTATCTTCCGGCAAGTTTTTGCATTGGGACTTATATTTAGATTTTTTTTTTCTTTTTAGACTCTCTGGTGCTTCCTCTACCCCCCCCATTTGACATATATCTGTTGTGTGTAAGGCTTAGAGGGAGCCTTATGTTTTGAGGTGTGCCACCTACTTTCATTTAATATTATAATATCTTTTAGTTAGGTGTATTAGTGCTGATCCTTTTTATTGTTTTGTTTTTAGAAATGACTGCAGAAAAACTGTGGGACTTGTTTTTTTTTTTTTCATTTTTATTTTAATAATGTCATATATTGATGTTAGATACTATAACTAAAACAAATAGGGTACAGAAATAACTTTTCTGTGTTCATTAAAAGACAATATATAATGTGAAGGAATGGATGTTACAAGACTTACAAAGGAACAAATAAATGCCCAATATATGTTAGTCTCTGAAACGCTTCTGTCACAAAGGAATATTACAATAAAAATATCAGAAGCTAAATGTGTTTTTAAAACAAGTCAGTATTTGTGTGGTTTCCTCAGAATGTGAAACTGAAGAAAGTTAAACAAAGCTTAACAAGGTAAAATTATTTTGGAAGATCTCAAAACTTTAAATAGCTAATGATGTGTCATGACTGCCTAAATAGCAAGAGATCTGCTTTACTCTAACCCTTAGTGGAAAAACTACTCTTCATCAGGCATAGAAAACTTTCCAAGTCTTCCATACAACTTTGTGTCTTCATCTGCCTTAGGATTTTAAAATTCCCTGCACTTCCTGCTAATGAAGGACTCACAAAACTAGATTTTTGTGTATTGGTTTTATCACCCAAGAATTTAAGGCTATGAATAGAGATAATTACTATATCCCACCGTTAAGTGTTGAAGCTTCCCATATGTTCAAGAAATACAGAGAGAGATGAAGGTATGCTGAAAGACAAGTTTAGTTATGCAAATGGATAACAGAGAAAAAGACAGGCAGATAAACAAACACACACAAAAAAATTAAGCTAGGCAAATATTGATACACGCACAAAATTATTCCAGTTTGACAAAGGGATTGATAGAGAGAATTACAACCAGAAAGATGAAAATCCAGTTTGATAAAGACATTGACAGACAAACAATCAGTTAGACAAAGGAATGCATACGTCAGCTGTTAGTGATTGATGCTGGAGATGTGAAAGAGAACAGGGGGATATGGAGCACATTTGGTGGCAATGTAAATACATTAGTTCATATTGGCAGAAGGTACTAGGCTACATATATGGGATTGTATCCATTCCTATGCAGCTAACCCCGTCCCAGATACTGTTGGGTTAGCCTGCCTCCTTTCAAGAAAAACATAAACAGCAATTGTTCAATCACATATTGAATGAAGCAAATGCTCTGATTCTGGGGCATTGGCGAAAAAAAGATTGCACCATCCAGAGAACAATGGATACAGAGAGTTGAATGTTTGAGGGAAATGGAGGAAATTCATTGGTCAGCACAGGGGAAGAGAAAGTATTTCTCAAGTTCTGGGAACCCTGGTTAACACAATGGAAAGACTATGCGATAGGCAGACATTCCCCCCTTTGTCCTTCCTTCTCTTTTTTGTTCTTCTTTTTATCTTTCCTTAGCTATCTTTTTTCTGTGTTGTATATTCTCTAGGGTTGATAAAGATATAATTGGTAATATATTACTGAGTAGTGATATTGTCATAAGTTATGAATACTTTACTTATGTAAATATAGGTTGGCTGGAGGTAATGAGATACATGGTAATAATTTTATAAGGATTTAAAAAATGATATCTAATAGTCAATGGGAGACACAAGACAAGCTCTCTCTTCATACCCTTTTTATATGGGATTCTTATTAGCAATAATTAAAGTAATACAGATGATGATTGGTAGTGGACAATCTCATTCATAGATAAAGAGTTATGAATCATATACCAATTTCTGATGTAAAAAAAAAAAAGGAATGCCTTTGAAGTCAGACAGACAAAAAAAAAATCAATGGATGTACATAAAGAAAGACAGAAAGAGACAGATGGAAGAATTGAAGTTAAACAAAGGGATCAATATAGGGAACTATGAACAGGCCAGAAGACTAAAATCAAGTTAGACAAATGGATTGATAAAAATCAGCAGAAAAAAAATGATGTTGGACAAAGGGCTTTATAGAGTGGAAGACAGAAACCAAATCCAAGTAAACTAAAGGATTGTAAGAGAGGAAGAAAAAAAGGAAGCAAAATATACAGTTAGATATAGGAATTGGTAATGATAAAGATCTACATCAAGACCAAAAAAACAGTTTAACAAAAAGATTGATAGATCAAACAACAGATAGACAGAGAGAAAGATTGACTGGCAAAAACTAAACAGGAGTTGACCACATACATTTAAAATTTCTACAGTCTAAATAAACAATCAAGTTTCAAGAATGCCTACAGCACTGTACAGCAAAAAAGTGAATTCATCACCTGCACAATATGTTAATTTGCTTCTTGCTTTCTTTAAAACTTTTCACCTTCAGGTTAGCTGAGTAACATGCTGCTTTAGGCATAAACAGCTGTTGTACCATACATTAAATTAGGTTTGAGTCCTGTGGCATTAACTCATTCTGGCTCTAATCCAATATAAATTTTTACAAAAAAAGAGAAATGCCAATGTTAATTGCCTAGAACAAAAACATATGTTAGATTGTATCTATGTCTTAAAACTATGTTTAGGAAGTGATTATAAAAAATATATATATTGTTGCCGTATGTTTTATTCCATACATAGTTTTCTTTAACTGTATTTATATATTTTGACAACAGTAGGTTATTGTAGTTACTCTTAGATGGTAAGCTCCTTTGAACAGGGCCTTCTTTACCTCTTGTGTCTGTAAATATTTGTGTGTGAATTGGTTGTTGTCAAATATCTCCATTCTATAATTGTAAAGCATTGAGGAATAGTTTGTGTATATATAAATGATGATGATGATGATGATGATGATGATAATAACAATAATAATAATAACAACAATAATATAGA